CATGCAGATCCTAGCCCACCTCTAGGTGTCAGGATGCAAGATTCAGAAGAGCTTAAGAGTTCTGTTTGCACACTGGTCACATGTTCTCTTGGGATACTAATATGAATTTTATGATGCATCAGTCCAAATCATAAAACCAAGAGTTCTGACAGGAGCCCCATATGGGGAATATGGGCCTACTGTAGTCATTCCTTTCTCTGGTTCCATCACAAGACAGAGTGACCAGGAAAGCGTCAACAAAAGACTGCAAGGTAGGAAATCCAGGTAGGAGGATGGATCCTCCGCACACATCTGTCACCAGTGTGTCTTGGGTTTGTGGTATCATTTTGTGTGAAGGTGGAAATACATGTGTAAAATCATAGAGAATTAATCCATAGACATAACTGTTTTAAGAAATCAAAGTAAACTGGTAAAAAAAAAAAAATGCCAGTGAATACTACCCTGCTAACTTAAAATATTTACATACAACCTAGTGCTTCCCAAACTTGGCAGAACCTGGGATTCCCTGGGGAAAGGGCTACAATGCTTGTCTTAGTTAGGGGATCTGGGAGTCTCTGGGGAAAGGGGCACAATGTTTGTCTTAGTTGAGGTTTCTGTTGCTGTGATAAAACAGCACAACCAAAATCAACTTCATCCTATAGCCTGTTCTTCATCATCCAGGGAAATCAAGGCAGGAACTCAAGGCAGGAGCCTATAGGCAGGAACTGAGGAAGGAGTGTTCTTTAATGGGTTTCTCAGCTCTCTTTGTGATGTACCCCAAGACCACCTGTTAGGGGAGGTACCACCTACAATAGGGCCCGCCCACATTTATCACTAATTAAGAAAATGACCACCCTGGCTTCCAGGCCAATCTTATGGGGGCATTTTCTTAATTGATTTTCCCCTTCCCAAATGACTGTAGCTAATATCCAGTTGGCATAAAAACTAGGCAGGACAGTGATTGACTCAGACTTTCTTGGGTAACACCAAAGCTGCTGACAGAGTGGGGCTAAAGTGGGATTGTCAGACCTGCAAAACTTGCCTGCATTTCCCCCAGCCTTCTGAAGGTTTTGGTTGATGTGTGAGCACAAAGGAAAATGTAACTGGGAAATAATGGAACATTGTGTTTTGTTTTCTCATCATTTGCCACTGACTCACAGTGATATTACTGTTTGGTGCAGTAAGTTAGTTCCCCTCTGGGCTACAAAATTACTCCAGAGGGCCTTCCCCCAGCTTCTGAACCCCTGGTGTGTGTGGCCATGCACTCTCCCTGCCGACATTTGGATTTGTCACTGTATGGTGCTGCTGGTGGCTCTTTGCTACTGGTAGATATTTTCAGCTAACTTCATGTCTGAAAAATTGTCAAGAGTTTGTAAGATACCACACAGTTAATTAAAGGCAGGCAAAATCATATTAAGTTTTGATCAACTTTGATCAAGATGAAAGCTCCTATAAGAGACTGTTATAGTAATGTTGCCAGTTTCCCTCCCAACATTAAGCCTGGGTCATTTTGTTCGGCAATTTGAATTATTAACTTTCTCTTCTTCCATGTGTGGTAAATAGTATTTTTATATTCTTAGCCTCCCTACAAAATTATTTTCAAAGGTTCATTGCAAAACCAATTTACACCTTTTGGCAGTAGTTGGACATATGCTGTGGTCCACACTTTGATACTGTAAAATTAGGAAGGTACTCACATCTTCACATCCCTGTTGTCTCCTGACCAAAGAATTAACCTGTAAATCTTGTACAAAACCATGTGCCAATATTGCCCTCAGAGATGAAAATATTTACGAAGATCTATCGTAATTTGTTCACTCTATGGTTTTCCAGTGTGATGGAATGTTTTTCAGAATATAATAAGTAGAAACATTTGAATAATTACTTCCAAAATTAAAAATAGGAACATTGCCTTTTCCTAGTAGCTCTAAGACAATACATTTACATGGGTGCATATGAAGGTGTTACTGTGATTTGGAGGGGCAGGTTATGGAAGTGGTATAACTTGAAACAAGTTTTCCTATATGTGCCATAAATCAAGTGTAAACTACAGTGTGTTATCTATAACCTATATTTAAATCAATTAATATGTTATAATTGCCATTTTCTGCAACGTTTGTGTGTGCAGGTGTGATGGCACCCCAAAGGTGTCATTCTTTGGACATCATCTTCCTTCGTGTTTGTTGGGTGGGACCACACATATGAACGTGTGCAGACATTCATATAGAGACCAGAGGTAGCTTCAGAGGTTGCTCCTCAAAAATTATCCACCTTATTTTTTGAGATGGGTCTCTCACTGGCTGACTAGTCAGCTCCAAGAATCTGTCTATCTTCACTCTCCACCTCCCTAGTGGAGGTGGAATCCCTTGGGATTCCAAGCATGCCCCACCACACAGACATCTTACCTGGGTGCTAAAAGTACCCAGGTCTTCATGTTTACATAACAAACCTTTATCAACTGAGCTTTCTCTCCAGACATATTACCTTTCCTATAAATGTATAAACTGAATATTTTAAGCTAAGTTCAGATTCCAAGCACCCATGTAAAAGAGGCAGGCACTGTGGCACAAAGTCTCAGTGTTGGGGGAGGTGGAGACAGGAAGATTCCTAGAACTCCCTTAGTCAGTCAGTTGGCCAGTCTAGCCAAAATGATGAGTTCTGGGCAGTGAGATATGCCATCTTTAAAAAATCAAGGGGAAAGCAGCTAAGGAAGAAACCCAGTACAGCCCTCTAGTTTTTACACCTTCACACACACATGAATGTGGAGACATATATACCCCACAAATAGATAAACAAATAAAAGGCCCCTGACTCATCACATGTGTTTGGTTTCTGGCCTTCTGATCTAGAAGGACCTGCTCTAGGTCAGACACCCTCCATGTAGCAAGGAACCAATCAGAAGTTAGCTGGCGGGACTCTGGATGTGCTTTGCGGCTCTGGGCATGCTTTATGGTAAAAGTGGCATAACAGTGATGTACAGAGCATAGCAACTGCCCTGGGAGGACCTATAGGCCATAACAACCAGTTGAGCAATCAATGTCCAAGTCCGGAAGCGCACCTATCCTGAGACTGTTGCATACACCTAGACATTCCTCTTGCTTCTCCCAATAAGGCCCCCACCTTGAGGCTCCTCCAGGTCCTTCTCATGCCAGCCATAGTGTTGAAAGGACGAAGGGCCTGAGTTAATACAGTTAACTCATTAATAATAAAACACACTTTGCTTTTGCATTGGAATGGGTCTCTTGGTGATTTTGGGGTTCAGAATTTGGGTATGACATATTGAGGGTTAGAGGATTAAGTGGTGCCGGGAACAGGGGAATGACCCTGCATGAGTGGACAATGATATTCCCAGAAGGCATGGGTTATTAAATGAAAACTGCAGTACAGGGCATAGGATAGCGTCATACAAGGTATTAGTCAGGAAGGACCAAGAGATCTCCAAAACAACTCAAGCTATTTATTGCCCTTAGTTGCTCACCATAGATTCATGGTAAGACTTTATTGCTGAAGACACAATACATTTTTTGGCTTGCATAACCTAGAAAAATTAATCTCAAACTGGCATTCAGAGAGCCTCCCTACCAGCTGGCTTTCATGGTGTCATAATGTCCTATTCAGACTTCCAGAAGTAAAAGGACATCAATGACTTTTTGCAGTACTGGACCCAGCATGATGCAATACCAATCTATAGGCAAGATGTGGCTACTGGAGCAATAGTGGTACCAATGTCACTGGGTAACTTCCCACTTTCTAATTAGATCTGAGGCCTTTTCAAAAATGTCTGACAGACTACAGCCAGGATTTCTGAATCTTCTTCAAATCCCCCATGACAGCGCCCCTTACCAGCAGGAAGTAGTTTGGAAAGAACAACGCCCAAATTCCCAAATATTGTCTATAAATGTTTGTTTTCATTTAAATGGACTTGGTTATATAAAAAACAAACAAACAAACAAACAAAAAAGAATGCATCAATTGTAGTTAGGCTTCTCTAGGGGTTCTAGAATGATTAGAAAAAACAAAAACAAAAAACCCATGGCTGCCTGCTGAGGTAGCGTGACGTAAGTTAGAACCTTTTATTGTTGCTTTGCTCAATGGTCAGACTGTCAAAATGTCTTCTAAATATTTACCTTTATACCTATAGACCCGGGCTGCAGTTGACTGTAGTCAACAGAGAGACCATAAATGACCAAAGTTCTAAGAATGAAAGACCATGTACTTATCCCTAAGTGTGGCATATATTTACCATACCTGCCACCAAGTCATGGAAGTGGAGCCAGATAGAATCCAGGAGCCAAAAGATGTGGGGGAGAGCCGTGAGATGCATGATATGATCGCCTCCACCATGAACTCACTACAGCTGTGTTAACCTGCATAAGACCTACACAAGTCAAGTCAGACAAAATTCTGCATAGGTGGGGTAGCAATCTCCAGGCCCCACCTTCGAATGAGGAGCTATTCGTGGTAGGCATCACTTAGAAAGAAAGAATGCTCTTTTGAAATTTTGGCCACTGGTAGGTTTCCCATGCTCCAGTGCATGGCCCCACACCCACACGCATGGTCAACGCTAACTGGACTTAAAGACTTAAAGTTGGTCAAAATGTCTTTTTGGGGGGGGCACTTGAGGAGTTAAAGGAGGAAATAAGAGATAGAAGCAATATTTTTTCATATACATATATGAAAGTAAAATAAGAATTAAAAAAGCCAAAAGTCTGGCTGACATATTTTATTTCCCCCTTTTAACAATGTCTTCTCCTGTAAATGTCACCATTTGTTAAATCACATAACTTTCTTCTCTTACTTACCCTCTCCCCCAAGTTTTTCTCCTTCCTGGAATTACTGCTGCCAGGGCCTAAACTGGCTCACCTTTTGACTCTGGGACTTCTTCCTCCTGTATACAAGCTGAAGTGAGGTTGGGGCCAGGTCTGGATTGGCAGCATTCAAAGGCAATGGAGATGAAAGGAGTCTTAGTCCACCCAGTCAGACCAAGGAACTGACAAATAAGGACGAGGCAGAGCCCTCTGTTTTATCTTCAGCAATATTTATTGGAAACAGCAATGCTTCCCATGGTGAGTTTATACATTAAGCAGGAAGATTTGCCTTTCACTCCACGTGATCCACGACTGCAAGTGGCATATCGGAAGCAGCACATTAAAACCTCTGAAATAGCCTGTACAGCTATATAAATAGAACTCTGGGTGCCTAACAGGTCTTCCATGACTGAAGGGGAAGAAATAAGAAACAAAGAACCAAAAGATATCAACACTGATCAGCTTGCACAGCACTATACACACAAAATGACGCTGTGACAGATGGGTTAAAGTAGTGACGAAAGCGGGAAAGGGTTTTTATATGCAGCCACATACTTAAACTGCTAAGCACAAAAATCATCTTTATTTGGTCCTCATTGAGGGCAGAATATACACAAATGATGTTCAAGGAACACAAACAAGATAAAAGTGGGAAGGAGCAACGGTCACTATGTCTTGTTCTATGGAGATGTGGGAAATGCTTACTAGTGTATCTCTCCTATGGTTTTGTGGCAAAGGGACTCAGGAAATGGACTGATTCCTGGGTAAATAAACAGAGAAGGGAAGACAGCTGTTCCCCCTTCCTGTGTCCTTCATAAATGGGCTACACATATATACACAGCTTCTGTACAGCAAGGAATCTGAGCTTGGAGACCAGAGTCTTCCCAATTCATCCTGGAGAATTTTCATTTTTTCAGACAATATACAGAATGCTCACCAACTCACTCAGAAATAAATGGGAACCCCCCATCCAAATGCTTTAACAGCAGGGAGGGAAGAAAACTGGCATGTCTTATAAGTAAGAGATAGATGATAGATAGACAGATGATAGATAGATAGATAGATAGATAGGTGGTAGATAGAAGATAGATGTGATAGATGGAGAGATAGATAGATATAGACAGACAGATATAGATAGATAGACAGATAGATAGATGAGAACAAAAGTGCTTTAGAAAATTAATACTTCTGCTGATGACATCAAAAGCCCAAGTTGTTTACGCCAGCAGACAATTTGCTGGTGGGGGATGTTTCGCCAACAATTCTGTGACTCACATATTTAGGAAGGGAAAGTGCAATAGAAAGTACTTTCTGTAAGTGGAGAATTTGAGACCTTGAGATGATGGCCCCTGGGTGAGAGACAATATCTTCTGTGAGGAGAGTTTTTCTGTGATGTGGCTCACAGGTATATTATCAGAAACCACACCCTCCTGAGAACTGTGTGAAGAGCAGTTCTGTGACCACTGGCTAATCTCAGATGGTGTTTTAAAGCATGTACCAGGCCAACGGGCCTTGGAAGATACCGTCTATCACCGGGTGAACTGTAGGAGCACACAGGTCAACCTGGGACATGTGTGGGCTTGATGACTCATCCACTGCGGCCTGCATTCATGATGTGTTGGAAGCAGCATTACCAAAGCAGTGGTTAAACTTAACTATCTGGGTCAGAAGGAGGTGAGCCAGCCAGCAGGAGATCCTAATGGGGCAGAGCAACCAGAATTTCTACATAGTTGATGGGGAAAAAGCCAGACTGGCCATGAAGCATCCCCTCATACCAGTTCTCATCAATTTGATTAGTGAGTGTGATGATATCACCCTCTTTAAAACCCAGTTCCCCTTCATTTTCAGGTTCAAAGTCATACAGGGCACGGCAGCAGGGCTGATCCATCTGGGCACCTGAGAATCACAGGCAGAGAGAACAAAACAAAACAAAAACAAAAACAAAAACAAAACAGAGGGTATTTAACCAGCATCACTTACTGCCTGCCCCACCCACCAGCTTTCTGGTCCCCTTTCCCAGTCACTCATCTCCCCTCTGATCTTCATCTTCCTTCAGCATCCACTACAAGGCACCTTTGTCTCTACCAGTTTTTCAATGTTCCGTTACAGTTTTAAGAGTCGTTGAACATTCTTGGTTGACATTTCCAGTATGAAAAAATGGTTACTTGTATGTTTGTGGTAATCACAACAGAGTTCATTAGGTTTATCTTCCTGACAATGCTGAGACACGGGAAACCGATGTCTTAGGAGTTAATTATTAAATTAAGGTTAATTCCAGACATGGCCAAATCCATTCATCTTAGTAATTTTAAATATCTTCACATTCAAAATAGTCTAATTAGTTACACAGAAAATACTGTAAAACCTCAGAATCTTAAGTCAGTTCTCACTCTTCAACAGCAGCAGATCCTTGAGAACTGCTCTAACAACATAAAGCACTAGGCCGGGGTTTTTCTCTGTGTGACCTGGCTCAAACATATTTTGCTTTTTCATCCAAAATTATAGTTAACAGAATTTTCTTTAAATTATTGTGTCATCAAATGATAATCATTTTAAAAATCACAGTCTCTATTTGGTAAACTTGTATGTAATATACATACATGAGTACTGGGTAAAAAAAACCACAGCCTACAATAATAATGTAATGCATATTGCATGAATTAATAAAAATGGACTGTATATTAAAAAGGGATCTATTTTCAATGAGTAAACATATTAATACAGCATACACATAAACACAAATATAAAAGTGCTTATGGGCCCCACACTGGCTAGATGATTTAAAAGGGAAACAGTATAATTAATTTTTTTTTATTTAGAGAAGTCACCAAATGGAAATTTTAATGTATGTCTTTTTCTGGGCAAGGAGAAGTGCAGTCATAGATAATTCACTTGATGAACTTCAGGGCCACTGTGGCCTGGGCCCCACACTGGGCAACACTGGGCAGTCTGAGCTGTCAACAGAGGCTCAGACTTCACCCTCTTCCTCATACCATGACAGCATGTTTAAAGAGTTCTCTGTTGCAGTAACTCAGTCACTTGAGGTACAGGAGAACGGGATAAAGCTGCTTATCCTTAACAACTGCATCCAGTGTTAGGTGGATTCCTTCTTTTTAAACCTAGACAGTTTCACAGTTGGAAATGCCTGGAGCGAACCTGAGTCTGATTTGTATGTGGGTAGTTGAGAATGATTATGGCAATGGAAAGACTGAACTAGTGGATACAATCAATATGCCTGAGGGGGGGAAAATGGTAGCTGTCATCATGCTGACCACAGTTCACGAAATGATGAACGGGTTTACTGTACAGCGTAAAAAGAAAACATAGCAGGTGCTGAGGGTTGCAGATATAATCAAACATATGCTTCCTGGAGCTGCTGTCTGTGGGTGATAGGGGGTGTATGTGTGCACACACAGCCCAGAGGCATTCGGTTCCACCTCAGCCGACTCACAGCAGAAGGAAAAGGTGGGAGAAATTACAGTGTGATTTACAATCTCAGAGGAGGGTGAAGAACAGTGTTTTCTAGGCAGTGGTGGCACACGCCTTTAATCCCAGCACTCAGGAAGTGAGACAGGTGGATCTCTGTGAGTTGGAGGCCAGAATGATCTATAACGTGAATTCCAGGACAGCCAAGGCTACAGAGAGAAACCTTGTTTCTAAAAACCGTAAAAGAAAAAAAAAAAAAAAAACAGGAAAAAAAAAGAGATAGATGGACTAAGTGCAGTGGGAGATCCTTAGAGCTTAGTGAACTAGAGCGTGAGAGGAAACGTGAAGCAGAGAAAGTTTCAGAGAGAAGGAAAAAACAGTGGGATGATGTGGCAAGGGCAAAAGTGTCCATGAGAAGAGCTCCTACCTGACGATGCTCTCATGAGGAGCAGATTGCTGTGCAGTTCACGAGCAGGGGAAACAGAATGCTCTGAATGTTCTCAGCATGGTCTACGCGTGTGCCCAAGTCCCAGGAAAAGGGATTTGTAGCCTCCAGCTGCTTACCTCCAGGTTTGGGTGTGCCTGTGTGGGAGAGACCCCCGTTGGGCTGAGTACTGTCTCCAGTGGCAAACTCTAGACTCATTCGTGGTTTTGGCTGATACTCCCTTCTTGGCTGAGATGAAGCTTGTCTTATTCTGTATCACAAAGAAAAGAGGTGATGGAGAATGATATAGCTAATTAAAAAGTGACTAGAAAGGCAGCAAAACCCAGGACCTGTTTGGCTCACTTAGAAACCTGTTATGACCTAGTGGAAAATGTACTAAGAAGCAAGCCCTGGCCTTCCACATGCATGCAATGTGTTCTTGGGGAAGTGTCTCTTTCATCTTGGCCTCACTGTCTTCATCCTTTCTCTCAATCTCCCACTTCTGCATTCAGAGTAATTGAAGCTAATATGCCAGGAACATAAAAGTACACAATACACAGTTGTTGCTCTAAAGCAGCTTGTGCTGTACGGGGGAGAGCAGGCATCGCTGACCACTATAAATAGCAGTGTAACACAGATTCCCACAAAGAGCTCAAGTACATGGGGCAGAGGTTAGAGGCCTGGAGAGTTCACTTATCTGTAAGAAGTTGATGATTTAAGGAAGGAGATCACAGGTCTACAAGAGAACATGTGAGAGAAAGCTATTTTGTGCAGAACATGAGAAGTTTTGGAGGTAGAGCAAGGGAGATGGCCAGGAGCAAATGAGAATGAGCAGACGGAGGTCAGAATGGGGAAGGAATGAAGAAAACAGGAAAAAGGAAGGCCTGACAATGGATTCTACCCATCACTAATCTTCTCCAGTTTTAGGGATTTATTAAGGCAAGTGTATTTTACTTTAAGGTGAGAAAGATTAGGTGTATTACAGTTCTAGAATTGTACTGATTTCAAACATGTTTGCAATGAAAAAAAAAGGGGGGGACGCATTCCCTTCATTTTCAACAGATGTGAGAGAGGCTTACAGTGTTGCTGTTGTGCTCTGATGTGTTGATTTTAAGCCTTTTCATTATAGACCCTTCTGTATTAGACACACTTCCACAAGGGTGCACCAAAGACTCATGCAAAAAAAAAAAAAAAAAAAAAAAAAACCAACTGAAGAAGAAAGCTTCTAAGGTGAAGCAAAGATCAGCCAGAGAAAAAACAATGGAAAACAGGTGACATTTCCAGGCTGCAGCATGTTACAGGAGCCTACACTGGACATTCTCCCACTGATCACCCAGAAGAGTTTACTGTGGACATGATCTTAAAAATAAAGGCTGCTATGTAATTCTCTATATTCTTATTTATCAAAACAATCCTCCTTTATCTAGCTAAAGAAAGCAAGAATAACAGTAAGGTCCCTGGTTAATAATAAGGTTTAAGGAGACTGAACAGGCACACGGAAGCTGAAAGTGGACAGCTGTGTTATCATTCAAGGAAACACAAGACTGAAAAGACATAGGCTTCCAAACAGGTTAGGCTTGACTGTGTGCACCACCTGCACCACTGTGTGAGACCCTTGGCCATTGCATCGTCTCTTTGAGCCTTACAGTGTTGCTCATCTATTTGGTCCACAGAGCTCTTTCAAAGTGTTCATATGCATGGGAGCCATACAGAATAACTGACCAGCAAATCACAGACATCATCATCAACAGAATTTGTGTGTTACATCCATGGCAGCAAATATGAACGATTTATACATCAGCATCTCACAAACACAGGATTAGAGTCAGAAGGAAGTAACACAAGACACGGTGCAAACTAAAATCAAGCAGTTGGTCCTCGAGGTGCCTGTGCTGGGTTAGCTGAGGCATGGGCAGAAGCTCATCTCCAAATGTAATCTTTTATTTCAGTTTCTTTGCACATCCTTTTCTAGCAGGTAAGAAACCTAGGGAAGTGTAACTTACCTTTCCTCCAGCCTGACAGTGACTTGCTGCAGGATCTGTACTGCTTGTTTGTGGTATTCCAGCTGGGCTTGCACGAGTGCAGAGAGCTGGCTCACCTGTTCAATCTGTAGAAGGATGAGGAGACCACCCTTCTGTTACCAATGTCTTGAAGCATTGTACAACATACACCCCAGCTATTTGGGATCCCAATGGCTGTGCAACCTACCATGAACACACACATAGTTCTACAGGTTATAAGTTGACTTGAGATATGAGACCATTCTTATGCTTAGGACCCAGCAAGCAGTACATCAGGAGAAACAAGGAGTATCCTTAAGAAGGTCTCATTGCTTTCATTAAACAGTTTTCTGCTTAACTATACGCTTTCGGAATAGGTTGTAGCTTCTTTTATTGCTGTCCTATAGAGAAAAGATTCAGTGACTAGAGGAATCTTTGCTCCTTGCCTGCAAGAGCCAACATGAAAGTCAAGCATCATTTTACATTCTAATAACTGCTGATAATGAAAAATAGAAAAATTGATTTCTCACTTCAGGTACCGTGAGATGGAATAAATCTGTTAACCTCTTTGCCTGATCCAAGTGGGATTTAAAGTTAATTATCTAATTTTCTAAGCAGCCTTACTTTTGTGTGTCTTGTGCTGTGAATTCGCTGAGTAGTAGCTTCCAAGACAAGAATGGCAATGAATGCTGTCCTATGAGTTGGAGAGTATAGGAGGAGGGACCATGGTACAGGGACACACACTGATCAAGTTTCTTACAGGATTGCACTTGAGTGATTATAAGGACAAAAGTTTTCTATAGACAAACCTACACTGTCTCTGGAAGATGAGACTACACATGTTCAACATGCCTTCCCTGCCTCTTAGGAGGTAAGTCGATAAGGTAATGTGGTGGATAAGTTTGGACGACAACATGTCTAATTTCAAGGATTTTCAAAAAGCAAGCAAAGCATGCTCCTCGGAAAAGTCTTCGTAGATGCTTGCCAAACGAGATTTGCATTTGAAACAGAGGACTAACCAAGGATGAGCTGTGCATATCTAACATGGTACACCCTGCCCAGGCATTGAAGGTCCAAATAAAGCACATGGCAAATGGCTCCTGTCTCCTGGGGCCAGCGATTCTGCTTCTCTTGCCTTTGGACATCAGAGCTTCCAGCTCTCCATCCTTAGGACTTGTTCTCCATCTCTGCTAGGTTCTCTAGCCTCTGGTTACAGAATAAATAATCCCATCAGCACCATTCATTCTTAGGCCTTTAGAATTAGTTTGAGCCATGTCTACAGCTTCTCTGGTTCACCAAATTTCAGGAGGTATATGTGGGACATCTAAGCCTCAATTATTTCCCTAATAGGTAATTTCCCTTTCCCAATGATCTCCAGCTAAGCGTACTATATGTACACTACCTATGTCTATATCCTTGTGGTTTGTTTCACCAATGCAAGTGATGAGTATGTAAAATCCTGCAAACATTGTGGCCAAATTGATGGGTTTGGAAGGTGGATATGAGCCACAACAAGAAAGCTGGCTTTTCAGATCCCTACGTGTGTGAAATAAGGATGAGAGGACTGTTCTGGTGCCTTGACAGCCACAACAGAATTTAATGCCCAAAGCTAGGAGCGATAATGTAACACCTTGGAGCTGCGGAAATAATTCTAAAAGATCCCAACAATGCCCTGAACATAGAACCAATGCTATAATAATCAATCTCATTTTGTATTATTTTCAATGAAAATACCAACCTCACTTCCACATTCTGACCATCTTATAATTTTGTATATGTACTTTAGTTGTCATTCTTAACCATAGATCAGTATGCTCTATATTTAAACTGTAGTTTGTAAGACTCTGGATTTATACCTGGTTTATCCCAAGCATTCTTTGTCTCTGCACTATTGGCAATCGTATAAAATTCATCAATATACAAAGTTGTATGTCTAGTTTATGACAAATTATTCAAATGAAGCAGTCATCTATGTGTTCTCATCACTTCAGAGTATCCAGACAGTATAGCATGCTACACAATGTATCACCTTTCAACACAGCAGTGCTGTGCCTACATGACAAAATCAAATGAAAACCCAGAGGAGATTAGCTTACATCCATCTCCAAGAGATTGAACATGCTCGACTCGGCGATTTCTTTAGATTCATCAAATTTCTCCAGCGCTTGGCGAAGTTCTTCGTCTGGAATCTTGCCTTGTCGTTTCTTCTTATAATCAAAGTCGAGGCGCCTGCCTTCCAACTTTTTCAGGTGATGCTGAAAAAGCCAAGGGCAATAATATGCTTCAAAAGGGCAATATTATGCAAAGGGCCTGCTTGTACCTCATTTCCCTGACATTCTTAGTATCCTCCAAAATGAGACCCACTCTGTTTGAAATGGCTTGTCACCAGAGAAACAGACACATGCATCAGCAAAGATAATGTTTCAGAGAGCTCACTGTGCAGTGACACCTTTACAAATAATTCAGAATGAGAAATAAACCACGGAGAAATTTGATTTGGCATTTGAAGCCTAAGCCAAGTTAAACTATGCTTCTTTCATTAAATGACAAGAAGGAAATGTGAGTGTGTATCCATCCTTCACACACCCCTCCTCAAGCAAAGGATACACACAAGATCCCACAGGTCATCTTCCTCAAGAGAAATGGAATCTCAGAAGACAGCAGAGGAAAGCCCCTTTCTCTGAGTTCAAGGTAGAAGAAATGAAGTTCTTCTTTTTTGACTAATCTAGTTTACCAGAATCACCTAATATGTCTGTTAAGAATGCAGATCCGTGACTACCTTCGTCAGAATAGTGAGGGCTGAGCCTAGTAATCTACATCTCAACGTGTGCTCCATTTGACAGAGGAGGCTTTTAGGGGGCAGATGACTTAGCTTAAAACCTCTCCATGGACAGGTGACACAAGTCAGTCATGAAGCAAACTGCAAGGGACCTTGGAAGAGATTTCATCAAATGTCCCTCAAGCCACCTTCGATCCTTCCCAGCATTATCTGCAACAAGGCTTCCAACCTCTCTAGGGACTAGAATAAGGAGGTTTGGTTTTGTGTTTTTCTCCCTTGAAGATCAATAGCATTTCCCTGTTACAGCTGTAGTATTCCGTGACTAATAGAAAAAAGAATGATTTCCTCTTGTTCCTTAGTATGTATGAATGAGGGAGGAAGACAATGACAGAACAGTCAGGAGTAGTAAAGGCCAGGAGTAGGGGACAGCCAATGTTCTAGAGCCTTCCCCTCTAGTCACATTTCCTACCTTCAACTCATACTCTTATCCTAACTGGGTGCGTTTCCTTTAGGCAAGGGTGTTCTCAAAAAACATTTGAACTCACATCCAGTCAGAGGCAACTAACGCCAGTTGAATTTATCAGCAATAACACAACTGTTCTCTGTGTTTTAGAAAGAGGAGTTATTTCTTCTAATTTCTAACAACAATCATGAAAATATAAAAATGTGCATAAGAGTGATATAGTAGCTACTTATTTTTAGCAAAAGAAAAGTACAACTAATATTTAAGGCTCACATCAGCCCGGCCCATCATTCATGTTAACATATGTACAAATTCCCAGATAAAGGACAGTCTTCTGGAGAAAAAAAAAAAAAGTGTCAAGACTATTTAACAAGGAAGTTAAATCAAGAAGAATCCATATATTGCTTGAGCTGCAACAGTGGATTGAAGAGCCCTTGGTTGTGTGGGCTGCTGGGAAGCCATGTGCATACTGCCGTGTAGCCCAGTAAGCGCTGTCTGAACAAGCACGTATGTGGGAAGACGAACTGCACAGACCTGAATCTCCCTCAGATCCTTGTCATGAAGATTCTGAAGGGGGTCGATGAAATTCTGCTTTACTTCCATGTCCAAGGAGTCCTTCACCTCCGAGAGCTCCCTCATGGCTTCTCCTACCTCACCAAGAGCTGGACCTGAGAGGGGAAAACAAAGATATCACTCCATGATGAACAAAGGCCGGGTGGTTTTGCAATGTCAGCCTTCAAGATGGCAATGTAGGGATTGCCTCCGTCCTACAAAGGCAGCAGAGACAAAGAGAGAGCCCATAGTGCTCTCAAGACAACACCAGTAGCTTTCCTTATTACCACAGACCATTCTGAAAGCCAGGCTCCATATCCCTTTACAGGGAGGACTATTCCTCTTTACCAAGAATGTAACACTTCACTCTGAACAGTATTTTGGAAGGCTCTCAGTCCTCTGTGATAAGTGCTAGTTTTCAGTAATATGAGATCAGTTGCAGCCCATTGCTTTTAGCAGGAGCAGATACCAAGAATGGAGAACTAGGGTCCAGAAAGGTCAGGTATCAAAGGGGAGGGGTAAAAGGCAGAAGGCATTTAGGGTCCTGGGAGACAGAGGATAAGAGAGATGGAATAAATGCTTTTTTTTTTTTTTTTTTTTTTTTTGTCTGGGGATGCAGAGAAGCAGGGACCACATACAAATGAGCAGCAGATTAATCAGAGAAAGCCCAGGTGGTAGGGTGGCAAATCATGCTGATTGTGACTGCTCACTCTGTCTCTAAATCCAACTCCTGCCAGATACACCTGGGAAAGTGCCAAGGCATCTGGGTATGTCTGCCAACACTGTTGTCAAGGCTGGGGGCCCATCAGAGAAAAAGGACAAAAGCCCTTAGACAAATCACTTGAAGCATTAGCATTCCTACGACCACATTTTAGACCCCATGTCTAATATCTACAACTGAGAATTAAAATATAAGTAGTTGACTAGTGATGTCTAGAGTTGCTTTTGAACAGCACTGCAACCTGCATGGACAGCTACAGTGTGACAAAGGCTATTTACCAAAGTTGCAATCATCTCCCAGCTCCCTGCCGAACTTGAGCATGGCCTCTGCCAACAGTGCTTCGGCCTGAGGATAGCCTGGCCCCTTCTCCTGGCCACGGATTTTTGACATGGTGTTGATCATGCTGAGCTTAGCTCTGGAAGCTGAAGACAAAGAGAGAACACCCTTTAGAAGCAAACACTACACAATGGGAAAGGGGGGGACTGGAAAACCAAGCCTCAAACCAGCCTACATGCCCACTCAGCTCCTAAAGCTGCACTTTCATTGAGCTCACAGTCTTTGCATACAATGTGTGGGCAACCAAATATACATCAGCTCTAATCTTTCCCATAGAATTCCACAGCAAGGCAAAACTTAGGTCTTGATGAGGCAATACCATGGGCTTGGATGCTGTCCCCATTTTTCCATTCTACCGGCTGTAGTGACTCTGGGAGCTTAGTTGGCTATAAACAGCATTCTTGAAATGCCTGGACTATCTGCTCATCTCCAAGCTTTATTCCTTTTTCATATCTCAGCTGTGGATTAAGATAAGAAACGGTGGTGAACTCAAGAGGTGTGGGCCTACGCTTCATTTTGATTACAATGTGTATAAAATAAAAATTTTCAAAGTGATTTCTGAACTATGAATAAAATACTACATTCATTAAAATATCTAATTACTTCTCTTAAATATACCAACTCAAGATTGGCTTTGTTTCTCAACGATCTCAATCCCTTTTCTGTCTTTGTTTTCATAGGAAGATGCTTACAAAGTAGCCCCAGTTTTAGTGGAGGGAGTCATGTTAGTAACTTATTAATCAAGACTATGATTTGACTGACTCTAGGTGTTGCACTCATTATCAGAGTTGATTACACATTAACCTAGGGCTGAACTCACAATGATAGCTGCATGAAAACCCTCAAGGAAATCACAGCTGAAAATAAAAGTGCTTTCAGCATTCCGGGACTAGTATTTGATCTAAAACATACAGCTCAAACAGGCTTATAATAAACATTGGGCTTCCAGGGCATAGAGTGGAAATGAGAGAAGTTATCCATATTCACAAAGTGTATAATGAACTGAAGGCAAAGTCAGTTATATGAGCAAGTAGAGTGAAGTGTTTACATGAAATGCCAGGATGGGAGACTACAGTGTGTCACAGAACCAAGGCCCACAGGGTGAGGCACTGCAAGAGCAAATGTCCACAGGGAAGCATCACTGAGCTATGAAACACATGGTTCACAGTGGCAAGGAGCACTAATATCACATGCAAAACTGGTGGTGACCATAAAAAACACATTTTCCTTTTATTTACCTCAAGCTTTTATTACAAGGTATATAATACATGTTAATTTTGAGAGAGTTGAAGTGCTTTGTAATCACCTATTCATTGGAGTAGACCTACAGAGCCTCTTCTACAGGCAGCCAGGACTGAGATGCAGGAGAGAGCTCCTACTGCACAGTGCTCACTGTAAAGCACCAAGTCAGTGAGACTATTGCATCTGTTAAGTACTAAGTCGGACCAGACACTAGATAGCGGGGCATAGAGACGCAACAGCAACAACATACACAAAGGGAAATAGCAGACCCCAGGGAAATAGCAGAAGGAAATAAGGGCAATGGACACCAGAGGACACCATGGTAATAAGGTCCTAACAGACAGCCACACCCCTACAATCATGCCTCATCTCACAGCTTTCTTAAGAACCTCGGATGGTTAAAAGGTCTGTGACCTTGAAAAATATCATCAGACTGCTTAAACTAGCACCCTCCAGTGTTAGCACAATTGTTTCAAAATGCTCTTCTAAAATAGTGATTTAAAAAAGAAACTGACAAAGAACCTAGGAAACAGGAATATTAGACATTCAAAGCCCTATAAGGTTATCTTTGCCTGGTTGCTGCACCAAATTATGTGTAAGGTCTGGAGCCCTAAATCCTTTCTGTCCTAAGCAGACCTGACTCCTCTCCTTCACACTATCTCCCTCTCCTAAGTCTTCCCCTGCCTTCCTCCTAGGTCACTTGCTTGATGAGTAAACAGACTCCTAACACCATTCTCTCCCCTGATCTATGACAGCAAGGCCTGCTGTTACGGTAGGTGTGTATCCACCAGCAAAGGCCAGCATAAAGCAATGTGAGCAGTGTTAGCATATCTGCTGTAGGCATGGCACGACAGACAGCCACCTGCTCACATGTTCTGGCTTCTACGAAGAAGAAGCCTTTTAAGATGTAACAGAGAATGGAAATGAGATTCTGTTTCTCTAGATGGCAGAGAAAAGGTGTGGGAGTCCAGGAGATTTCTTTTAAGAAAAGAATAGCTGACCATACTGAAGGCAGGATTCCACAGTGCTACCTACCGAGAGCACCAATCAACTGGTACAGTTTGAATATGGATTGTGTCCCCCAAATGTTAAGGGTTTGGTTCCTAACATGGTACTACAGCTCTCATTCAATCTCTCTTCTTGTCTGGCTTGATATGGCCATTTGTTCCAATACAGTATCCTACCATGATACCATCCTCTGCTATCTTTACAGGCAACTAACAGAGCCCACGTGTTCATCGACTGAGCTAAACAAAACTGTATTTGCTTTACAGGTGCCCAGTGTCCAGTATATCATTATAATCATGCAAAGCTGGCTAATATATCAGTCTGTGTTTCTATTTTTCACCAAAGAACCTCACAGCCAGGTTGTCGCCTCTGAAGGGTCAGGTGTGTGGCTGTGTCTGCAGAATAAAAAGCCCACTGTAAAAAGTCCACTGAAAACCAGTACAAGGACTAAGGCCCACACAAGGGCCACCAAAGGGCCCACACAGGGAACTGTAGGACCCCGACTTCGGACAGGAAAAGATGGGCTACACACCATACGAGAAACAAGCCGTTAGAAAAAAAAAATGGAGCAATTAATTGAAATTTATTTCAGAAAATAACTTGTAAAGGTACCTTCAATTGTGATGAAACACAAAGGTCCAATAGTGATGTTTTCAAAGGACACCATTAAGGTTACAATTCTTTTTTCTTCCCTGAGCTAACTAAAGAGGCATTGCACTAAAGGAAAGTATAAGTCAAGATGAGGGATAGGGATGAAAACTAGGAGAGAGGAAAGCAGTACAAGGAAACACGACAGCGAAGAGATCTGAAGGAGGCCTGCGTCAGGGACGATGACAGCTGTACAAGGTGGGCACAGGGCACAGTGAAGTGGGCCTGGCTCCCCATGCTCCCCACTGGGACCTAACAAACAGCATGACAAAAACATACCAAGAGAGTCCCAGGGGCAGGCACGATAGTGGGAGGGCAGGCGAGGAACAGTTTTCATCTTTTGAAAGAATTGTCAAGAAAACATCTAAAAGTGGGAAAAGACACAGTCTCAGTGCAGGAGTGTTGATTCATGACTGAAGGTAAAAAAACAAACAAAAAAGGCAGTCAAGAGTCTTAAAATGTTGCTTTTCAGGAGCAGAAATGGAGGAAGGGATTTCAACCCTAGGGGCAGCTGCAGGTTTACTTGTACAATTCTTTGTGTGTAAAGTAATTTTTAAAGAACATGTTCATGAACTATACCCCTTATGAAAGAAGAAATGAACTGAAACTACTTTCCAGCCCCCAGCCTCACCTCCCCCCCCCCCAGGAGAGTTTAGCCATTATCTAGTGAATACGGTGGACAAGTAGAGATCTGACAGGCTTAAGGGCCTTCCAACCGAAAAGTGTGACTATGGCTTGTGTTCACTAGCTTAAAAGGCCAAGGAGAGAGAAGTTAAGGAGGTCTGACAAGAAAATGGAATCAGAAAACAGCATCAAAGGAAAAGACTTGGTGGATCTAAGTGAGGCAACCATCTGGAAAGACATCTACTGGTAGATGCAAGAGCAGAACATGAAATTAGGATGACCACAAGGGTTGTTGCAACCCCCAAAGGCTTTGCTGCTGTGTCGCTGTGTCCCAGCACAGAGAACAGCTTCTCTCCTAACTTAAACTCTCTCTACCTTTTAAAGAATACAAACCTGGGGAGTGTGGCTCCTTACCAGCTCCCAGCATGAGCTCTAAACAGACTCTAGCCTCCTGCTGAGCTTTCTAATTCTGGGCACAGCTGAAGGGAAACCCAGGCTGTGCACTGAGCAATGCGCACTTGGCTGGCCCTGCATGCAGTTCCTGGTCCAAAGCAATGTCCCAGTGAGTCACTGCTCAGCCATCCTAATGCTGCCTGTCTACTGAAGCAGAAACTGGGGGGGAGGGGGGCGGCGCACAAGAGTCACACTTCTGTAGTCTTAAATTCAATTTTTTATTTCTTATTCCAAACAAGCAAACAGGAAGTCAAGTCATTATCAGGTCTTGCCTTCTTTTATGGGAAGCAGTATATCAGATTTGAGTTCTTGCAGACATAGGTAAAAGCCAGGCTGCACGTCTTTCCAGCTATGTATCCTGAAGATCTTATGCAGTGATAAACAATGAAAAGTCTCAGCACAGTCAGGCTGTCTTAGGTGACAGAGCTCGCCCTCCTTTTCTCCCTGGCCAGGCTCTTCTGTTGTGACCGTGTTGCAGTGTTCTCAGGTCACACCAAGACCCTGCAGTCCCTTTTCCTGAACATTTCCACGTGCCAAGTGCCAAGTGAGGATGGGTCCAAAGCAAGGGCTTGCCAAATTTGAGAGGTGAAGACAAGTAGCCACAGGAACTAGGAAGGCAGTCGTTGGTTGGAAGAGAGGTGGGAACAAAGGCATCCATCCTTTCCACTGTGGGTTAAACCTTTTCACTTAAAAGTTTTAAAAGTTTAGGAAAGGCCTCATTTTCTAGTGCGTTCTAGCTTCCCTCTGTGCTCTGAAACAGAGCACAAAGATGGTAGTAGACTCCACCCCCTGCAGTGCTTGGTCTGGCGGGCAGCTGGCTGGAGACCAGGGGCACTGCGGGGGGCCTGGCTGGCATTTCCCTCATGCACATTAGGGTCTGCAGAGCCTCACAGTCTTCAGACTTCCTTCCTAAGCACAAGAGGGTAGACTCCCACCTCCTTCCTGCGTAGTCCACAAGGCAGGCAGTCACTCCATACTTCCCCCAGGAAGCACCATTTACTCCCAGTTCCCTCAACAAAGAGAGTCTCCAAGTTGAATTATGAGACCCAGATCAGCAGAACCAAAACCACAAATAAATTTAAAGTGGTAGCTCAGTAGCTGGATATGCAAG